GCTGCAGAAAGAGGGGTATGTGCGGAGGGGTGTCCCAGGTGGAGGAGACTGCACAAAGCTTTGAGGGCACGAACTGCCAGAGGGGTGCAAGGAACAACAGGCAGGCAAGACTGGAAACAACTGGTGGGGCCCAGCGCAAAATGAAAATGCAGGGCCCCTTGTTTAAAAAAATGGAAGAATTTCAAGAAGGCACTTGGACAGGTCTCACACTGATGATGCCAGTGGCATCACAAGGCTGGCCAGCCCCTGTGCAGTAAAAGTTTTGAGGCAAGGAGTGGCCAATGAGGAGACTGTAAAGGTGAAAAGGTCATATCATAGGGAGGAGCCTCATTAAGGAACTTGGACTTCACCCCTGCAGACCCAGAGGAACCACTGGAGGGTTTGAAGGGCTTGAAGCAGGGAGGGACCTATTTAGATTGACTGCTAGGAGAATGGATTCATGGGAGGTAAGACTGGAGACAGGGAGACTGTCAGGAAGTTATTACGCAGAGGTTAGGGCCTGACCTGGGACAAGACAGGGGAGGGGGGCAGGGCTGGATTTGAGAGATGTTTTAGAGGGAAATGGACAGAACTTGGCCATCAAATGGCCGTGTGGATGGGGGAAATAGACAGCAAGGATGAAACCTAGGTGGTTGGATTGGGAGTGTCACCACCTGCAACAGGGATGCAGGATGCTGAGCAGGTATTGGGAGGAGGGCATCTTGGCTTTGAACTTATGCAGTTAGTGGTGCTGGGAGGACCCCACGTGAAAAGTATGCAGGAGACACTTGGGTCTATAGCTTTGGAGTTCAGGGGAGCCCTGGGGCTAGGGATACAGCTTTGGAGAGCCACAGGCTGGCTGATCTGTAATCCATGCAGTGGCTGAAGCTGAGGGAGGGCATGAGACTGGGCAAGGAATGGCTAGAGTGAGGAGACTAGGTGGGCCAAGGATAGATCACCAGGGCTGAGTATGCCATTTGGGGCCCCTCCCTTTCCAGGATGTTAGCTCCTCCCCAAGGCTCCACCTGGTTCTTTCTAAAGAACCCCCCACCTCTGCCCCAGCACAGCACTTGGGACCCAGTAAATTTGTTACTGAACTGCATGGTGTGGTACAGCAGTGAGAAGACCCAGATTTCTGCCCAGTGAGATCTTGGACTATTTCCATAACCTCTGCCAGCCAGTTTCCTCAATGTGGAGATAGCACCTATCCTGATTATCTTGGTATTTCTGTTTATGGGCTTAAATAAACAAACTAGATGTATATAACTCTTTACAGTTTCCAACATGCTTTAATATATCTCTCAGGCTTTGCAGACTCGTGTGTGTGTGGGAACATTAATCGTCATTATTATAAAATGGGTTGAAAGATTTCCCTGGAAATGGCTCATAGGGCAGAACTAGGGGCCTCTTCAGGGCTCTCTCATGGGAATTTGGCTCCCATCTCAGAATCCTGACTCAGGCTGGAAGAATTGCTGGGGCTCCCCTGTGATTAAACAAACACTCACTGGGCTCCAACTATGTGTTCCTGGCTCCCTGGGACAGCCCAAGAAGCAGGCCCTGCCCCACCCTCAAGGTGCATCCCTCCTCCTTTAACCAACAGGTGGGGCAGGGCAGGGTAGGGCAGGGTGAGTTGGTGGAGGCAGAGACCACCAGCACGTCACCCCACCCACAGCGCGGGGCGGGGGGAAGGGGGGTGACTCATGTGTAACAGAAGGAGGTTTGAGGATAGTTGTGCCTTGCTGCTGGCCTCAGCTCAGGGTGGCTGCCCAAGCCAGCGTACGAGTGTGGGCTTTGGGCAGCGTTCTGCTGTGTTTGTCCTTTCCCAAGGCCAGAGGGAACCTCAGGGGGCCTACGGGCAGAGAAGCACATTAGTGGTCTGGCCTCCAGGGCATCAGGTCCTCGGGGCTGCCAGCCATTGGAAGGTGGCATGTGGGATGCTTCTGACTGTGATTCTCACAATTCTCTGCTGATTTAGCAGACGGGACGCTGGCGAAAGGGCAGCACGTTGAGGGAAGTGGAGGACAGGGCAGGCCAGTGCCAGCTTTGGACGGGAAGTGCAGGGCCCCAGGGTGCTATGCCCGCAAGCTGCCTGACTATCCTTTGTTGTTGTTGTTAGCTTCCTTGTGAAGTGATAACCGTGCGCCACGTGCCCATGTAGACCTAAATATTTTACAAGCCTTATCTAATTTGATCCTTCCAACAACCATATGATGTGGGTACTATTGTGAGCCAGATTTTAAAAGGTAAGGGAGCCAGGGTGCCTGGTTGGCTCAGATGGTTGAGCGTCTGCCTTCGGCTCAGGTCATGATCCCAGGGTCCTGGGATTGAGTCCCACATTGGGCTCCCTGCTCCTTGGGAGCCTGCTTCTCCCTCTGCCTCTCTCTCTCTCTCTCTTTCATGAATAAATAAATAAAATCTTTAAAAAAAATAAAATAAAAGGTAAGGGAGCCAAAGCTAAGTTCAGTAACTTGTCCAAGATCATATAGCTGGCAGTTGGTGGGGCTGGGATTCAAACCCGGCCTGTCAGGCTCCCCAGCCTGCATTCTTGTTCCCCGTGGGATGCGGCTTCTCCCTCAGCCCTACCTACCCGTTCACTCCACTCCGCCACCTCAGCTCTGGGTCTCGGGTCTCTCCTCCCTCCTCTTCAGCCTGATACCCACTTTCTCCCCAGTTGTTGTGCCAGATACTTGGAACCCCCCCTTGCAGTCCCTGTCCCGTTCCAAAGTTCTTTCTTACCAGCCCTCATTCTGGGCAAGAACACCCATTACTTATCTTTCTACAATAGCCATAAAAAGGCTTACTTACCCTTGACATTCAAATAATCAATTTCTTTTATCCTCCATAGGTTATTACTTTATGGTCTGTGTTTCTGTGTGTTTGCTCACAGCCAGACCGACTGGGGTGTGTGTGTGTGAGCGTGCGTGCGCACGTGCACGTGCACGTGTGTGTGTGTGTGTGTGTGTGTGTGTCTGCCTGCTGGGCTGAAACCCTGGAAACTCAGCAGCCTCGGCTGGGCCTCTTGGTGTTTGTTGTGTGGTTTCTGGGTAGTTTTTATTCAGTCCCTCTCCATACCTAGTCTGTGAGCACCTTGCAGGCAGGGAGTACAGGTGTGTTCATGTCTATAACCCCAGCACCTGTATGACACCTGACACTGAATGTCAGGTGCTTTAATGGATGCTCATAAACGAAGGAATAAGAGGTGTGCTGTGTGCAGGCAGGCATTTAGTAATGAGTGGGGACTGGGGTCACTTGGTCTGGGGGAAGGGCTGCACCTTCCCCAGCTCTTTTCTGCATCCCTCCTTCTACAGCTCGGGACTTAGAACCAGCCCCCTGTAATCCAATGGGGCCCTGTGTCTTTGTGACATAATAGGGCACCAAGGCCCTCTGGGGCTCCCTAGGTGTATTTAATGTGCTTCCCTCAACAAGGACAAATTTCCGAAGATATGCACATTGCACGTTTGTATATGAAATATCATACTTGAAACTAGTTTTAGGGAGGTGCATTTATTTTGTTTATTTTTAAAGATTTTATGTATTTATTTTAGAGAGAGAGTGCGCTTGAGGGCAGGCGGGGGAAGGGGAGGGCAGGAGGAGAGGGAAGGAGAGAGAATCTCAAGTAGACTCTGTGCTGAGCTTGGAGTCCACCACAGGCCCAATCCCATGACCCTGAGACCACGACCTGAGCCAAAATCAAAAGTCAGCCACTCAACTGACTGAGCCAACCAGGCACTCCTAAGGAGGTGCATTTAAAGGTTAAAAAAATTATAAAGCAATAAAGCGGCCTGTTTAAAAGACATGCATAGTTTATAGCCTTATCTCAAACTCCCCTCCCAACACTGCTCTTCCCAGAAATAAATCCCCTGAAGGCCAAGGGTTGGGCGGGACTTCCCAGGCTGGTCCCTCTCAGGAGGGTGGGCCAGAGCTTCCACAGCCGGCTTTTGGTTCTGGTGGCCTTCTCCAGTGGCAGGCCACAGGTGGGTATCCACTGAATCCTGCCCACTGCAGTTCTCACTGGGGTGCCTTCTCCAAGGTGGGGGTCAGAGAACAGGATTCTGGCCCCCCTATGTCCCAGGCAGCAGAAAGGCCTAGATTTTGGAGCCAAGGAGGCTGAGGGATGAGTGCCTCTAGTAGGAGCCCTTCTAGTACACATAGAATTGGTGACCTGACCCTTGGTTACTGTACCCCAGGTTGGGGCCCATCCCACCATCCCTCCAGTCTCTTCCTGACACCTGGGCTGGGATGAGTGTTTAGCCTCTTCTGGTGTCTTCTAGACTGGGCATCTGCTCTCAAAGAGATGGGGCTTTCAGAGAAAGTGACAGATCTAGAAAGCTGTGGGCACCTCCCTGAGACAACCTTGTAGCCTTCTTTTTTTTTTTTTTTCAAAGATTTTATTTTTAAATAATCTTCATACCCAATGTGGGACTCAAGCCCACGACCCCGAAATCAAGAGTTGCATGCTCCACCGCCTGAGCCAGCCAGAGCTCCAACTGTGTGCACTTCTTACTGAAGGCCGGAGGACCTTGCAAAATAATATCCTTAATTCACATAAACCCCTGGGAAGATGATCATTAAGAGCAAGCCTGCTGTAGCTGAAATCACAAGTAAAATAGATGGGTTTTCTCTCACATTTACCTGACCCAGGAAGAGTGGGACACGGGCAACAGGCTAGATTAAGAATTTCTCAGGGAAAAGACGGGACTTTTATTTCCCATTTGTGTTGTGTTTAAAGTTTGCATTAAGTCCCTACTATGTCAGGTCTCTATCAGTGGTAGATAATTCTTGGCTCAAGGAGCTAAAATTCTCTAAGGGAGCCAAATGTATGACTAGATCATTACAATACTATATATGTATATATGTGTGCACATACACATATATATATAATCAACTCTGGTATATATCATGTTTTTTGTTGGTTTTGGGGGGGCAGCAAAGCAAGGTGATAGTATAAGCTCCCAAGGAGGGAGGGGACCCGAAGAGGTTTTGCTGGTATATATCACGTTAAATAGAAGCATATGAGCAAACTCTGTAGGACCAAAACAACTCCTGGTGGCATAGGAGGCATAATAATGAATTAGGGTCTTAAGGGATGAATAGGGGTTTGTCTTGGTTTACCCAGGAGGCTGTTCCTGACCAAAAGCACAGAATGCACTCCGAATCTCACCCTCCTGGACAGCTTCTGCACCCAGGAAGGTAGTCAGAGAAAGGGACTAGTGAGAGTATTCATGGAGGGTTGGGAGAGGCCCATCCCAAGAGGGCCAAGGCCCAGTGGGTTCCACTATGCGTAATGGGGAGGGGCCTTTGAAGGACTGTGCACTTGAGGCCTAGGGGCAGGATGGCTGTTTAGGAAGGCAGGGAATATGAACTCACAAGGCCATGAGAAGCTGAACCGAGTAGAAGCAGGGTTGGAAATGGTAGGGTGGGTTTGAGAGTTGGTTAGTTTGGGAGTTGTTTGAGGGGAGGAGGAACCCAAGGAAACGGGGAATCATTTGCCTTTTCTCCACCCAGTGCCTCACTCAGAGCCTGGCAAAATACCCACTCAGTCCTTGGAGGAAGCTAGCTGGGTGGGTGGATTGAGCATCAAAGCTGGGCAGCCCTGGGACAGGCAGCTGTGGGTACGCTGACCGTGCAGCAAATGTTTCCCACTCTCCAGGGATGCCTGCCCTAGGGGAGGGAGAATGCCAACGTGAACCAGAGTGAGATGCAAAGGCAGCCCCGGGCGGGACACCACGCCAGGTCACGCACCACCTGGACTAATGCAGATTTGCAGGAGGGGTGGTCAGTGATCCGGGAGGATGTGTGTGCACACAACTCTGACTTCATGCCTTTCCCTCTCTTCCCACCTCACAAATACAAATGCCCCCCTGCCCCTCTTTGAGGGTGGTTGGGTCTCAAGAGGCTGGCCCAGGGCAGCGCCAGTGACCACCGCACCCCCCAACTTGAGGAAGGGCCCCTCAGGTCAGGAGGGAACCACAGCCAAACCCTGTGCCCACCTGAGGAGCATTGAGCTTTGGGGTGGAGCGGACAGCCTGGGAACCGGTCTGCCAACCAGTTTAACCAGGGACTGGTTTCGGCTCCCGAGTTCAAAGAAGCTGGGGTGCACCCCGTCCCACCCGGCCAATGGGAGCAGCGGTGCTTAACCCTTTCCCCATTGTGCCTGGGGCAACGTCCAGAGGCGGTACGTGCTGGAGAGGGTCTGAGCCTCTTCGGGGCATGAAATGGGTGAGGGTGACCTTGGCTATGGCTGTGGGGTGCAACCAGGCCCATGATAATGGGGAAACAGGAGAGAGGCTCCCTTGTTTCCCCTCTCCAGACTTCCCTTGGGGTTTCCTCTTCTCTCGGAGGCGATCCCTGGAGGACCCTGGCTTCTGGGTGGGTGCAGGGGCACTGGGATTGGATTTCTGGAGTAATGAATATTCATCAGCCCGATCCGGCCTCTGCTTCTGTTTACTTAGCCGGGAGGGGCTGGGTTTCAGGTTCACCTTGACTCCCCAGAGCCGCAGTGGAGCAGGTACCCGCTCCTGCACCTGTTTCTCTTGCACCTGCCGTGCAGCTGCTCCCACCTAGCTCTCCTGGCCTGAGCCTTGCCCGGCGCGGCACCCTGGAGGCACCCCTGCCTCTCCCAGTCTCCTGCCTGAGCAGCTGCTACACTCAGCTCCTTCTCTGAGGAAGGTCTCGCCTCCAGCCCAAAGCAGTCAGGATTACAGGTACAGGAAGAGGGAGAGCGGGTGGGGAAACCAAGGCACAGAGACCAGTCAGGGCACCCGGTTCTGCCTCCGTCGCTGACAAGCTTAATGGGCTCCCATCTCTCCCTAGGTGGGTAGGCAGAAGTCAGACTCATCCCACTGGCTCTTGGAGTCAATCCAGGCCTCCAGCAGAGCTCTTTCTGGGAAAGTTTCAGTCCTGAGCAGTTCTCCATTAACGCTTGCTAAGCTGGAGCCTACCCCCCAGCCTGGAGGATGTTCCTGGCTATCTGATAGGGACGTCTCCCTGTTCCTCTCCTGGGTACCCCAGTCTTATCCAGAATGGAGAAGTGCCATCAGGGGCCCTGCGGAGGGATATGGGCTGGGGGGTTCTGAGTGTTGTCTTAAAGCCCAGAAGCTGACTTGCTTCCTCAACTCCCCACCGCACCGCCCCCCCCCCCCTGCCACCTCCAACACAGTCAATGGTTAACTCATTCCAGCTCAGAAGGGGCCCTGCCCAGTCTGGACAAGAGCAGTTCACAGAACTCAGCCGGGGCAGTGGGGCCTGTCTTGGGCTGGCCACATGCTTGCCATAGGGTTGGCTGTCCTAGGGGAGGGGTGGCAGGCTGGGCTCTGAAATTGTGCAAAGAGCAGAGGTGTATTTAACACCCTCAGGGCTGATTTCTATCTTCCCCCGGATTGCAGGGCCCCAGGGCAAGGGCCCAGCCCTCAGCTTGGCCAGCTAAGGGCCCCCGTGCAGGCCGACAGCGCGGCTCACCACATGTCACTAAATGCTGGGTCCGCTTGAAATCCCAAGTACACCCCCGCCCCAGCCCCCTCCGGCCTTCTGTGGCTCAGCCTGGGCATACGGTTGTAGCTATAGTGCTCTTTCCAACTTTCGATAGCTTTTGATATCACAGCACTTTTTTGATGTAAAGCAAATCAGATTTTATACTACCTTGGCGTGGCTCACTACTTAAAAGAATCTTATAGTTCGGTTAGTTTGTAAAACAAAGAATAGTCCTCTAATTTATCTGTTCTGTTCAGACTTTCATATGTCAGTCCTGCCGAAAAGGGGCAGACACCTCTTACTGGGGCTTCTATGTCCTCTTGGACAGAAGGAACAGCAAAAGGCATCTTAGACTAGAGTTCAAGGCCAACAGATGCCTTCGTGCCATGGTGGAGGCTCCAGGGCAGGGTCCAAGGGCTATTCCTGTTTCTCTGTGGTTTACTGATAAGTTCCTGGTGATCTGTCACTTCCTTCATTCCAAGGAGAGTTAAGCCCTGTGGATGCCGATCTGTGGCACCCGCTAAAGCAGGTGTGTTTTAGCCGCAGGGGCAGAAGGACGACCTCTCAAGGAGGTGGGCAGTCAGATGGTTACTGTCAGCTCACGAGCCGGATCCTCCACTCCCTGAGTTCCTCCCATCCAACCCTGGATGGGCGGTGGTGGGGTCATAGGCCTTGCCCCAGACCAGGCGAGTGGCACCCACGGGCCAAGCAAGTGCCCTCCCCACAACTTCCAGAAACGGAACACCAAGTTCTGTGCAAGGTTGTGCTAAGCCCAGGCGGGGCAAGCTGCCAAAGCAGAACTCTCAGGCTGTCCGCTTCATGCACTCGCCTCTCCAGGGTGCCCCGAAAGTATTTCCCCGGCCACTCTCACCCCCTCCTCCGCTTTCTAAGTGGGAGCTGCACAAGATCTCCCCTGGGTTTCTCCCGCTACTTGAACTCCGCTGGAGGGACAGAGCTAGCAATGTGGGATCTACTTCCCATACAAGAGGTAGGAAGGAATCCATCAGGCATGCGCTCTGGGCATGAGGCTGAGTATGTGGAGGGACAGGGGACAACAGCAGCAACGGGCCCACGGAGGCAGACACTCAACCCATTCCAAGCCTACGTCAGTATCCTGCTTTCTTTTTCCCCAGATTTGATTTGCTCCCCCTCTAAAAAAAAAAAAAAAAAAATCCACCCTCATTATGGAATGTCTAGAAATCAGAAATACTGGAAGAAAACATCCTCTATTCCTTCTCCGTAAAGAAAACCACTATTCATCATTTGTCGTATTTCTTTCTGGTCTTTTTAGAAAATGTAGTTAAGACCATCAGTTTTTAAAAGGAGGTGATCTATTCGCCTGTGCTCGGGCCGCCTGACCATCTAGCTTTCTGGGCTGTTGCCCCCTCCCCAGGACCCTTCCCAGCCACATGCAGGGTCCTGAGAACCAGGACCTCTCCAGGCCCAGAGATGCCTTGATTTCTCACCCCTCGGCCTGCCCTTCCGCTGCTCGGAACTCCTCCAGTCTGCGGTCTCCTTCCATCTTACACACCCCACCTGCCGACGATGTCCCAGCCGACTCATCTCCCAGAACTCCCACTCACTCAGACAGCACCTCTGTGGAAATGAGTAAAAGATGAGGCCACCTCCATGCGGGGCCACATCACCGCAGGGCACATCGCTTGTCAGTGGAGAAGCCTGGATGTCAGCCCCCAAGCCCCACTTCCATTGGGTTCCTTGTGGAGAGTCTGGCCTGTGATAACCTTATCTCATGTGGACCTTGTGACCCCACCAAACCTCCCTCCAGATTTTCCGCTCCCCTGCAAACTCCTGTCCTCATGGAAGCTAGGTGGGGAAAGTAGCCGTCCCTCAGTGATTATTGCCGTTATCATGTATTACTGTGCAGAGCGTGCCTCCCTCTGAGGGCAGGGACTAACGTTAGAGCTAAACGTTAGCGCGGAAAGGGACAGCTGAGGACACTGAGGTCCAGAGAAGCACCTTGCTAGGGGTCACGAGGCTGGTACAGTCCCCAGGACTCCCCCTGCCTGCCCTGAGGCTCCTCCCACTTAGAAAAAAACCACAACAGCTCCTTCACTCCTGGTCCCCACTGGGAAGTCCAAATTACTCTCCAAATCATAAATCCTCTTTATTTTGTAATGGATTCTAGGCAAAATGTACAGGGTGTTTCTGTCCATCTGATGCCACTCAGTCCCCAGACCCCCCTCTTCTCCTGTTGTAGCGCTTATCTGAACCCCGGGTTCATGTGGCCCCCACCTTCAATCCTTTCGGGCCTGGACTCTTTTTTTTTTTTTTTTAAGATTTTATTTTACTTATTTGACAGAGAGAGGGAACGTGAGAGAGGGAACACAGCAAGGGGAGTGGGAGAGGGAGAAGCAGGCTTCCCGCCGAGCAGGGAGCCCGATGCGGGGCTGGATCCCAGGACCCTGGGACCGTGACCTGAGCTGAAGGCAGACGCTTAACGACTGAGCCACCCAGGCGCTCCTCAGGCCTGGACTCTTAAAATAGCCTATGATTAGGAGTTTAGAGAGGGCTGCTCCAGGGCACCCCCTTTTTCCCCACTGACCCCTTTCACTGTCCCACCCCGCTCCTGCAGGAAGCACCCCTCTCGGCTCCAGGGACCACCATGACCGAGGCCGGCTGGTGGAAGCTGACCTTCCTCCGGAAAAAGAAATCGGCTCCCAAGGTGCTGTATGAGATCCCTGACACCTATGCTCAAACGGAGGGCAGCGCTGAGGCCCCGAGGCCCGAGGGCGGGGGCCCCAACGGCAACTTTAACACCCGCCTGGAGAAGATTGTGGACAAGAATACAAAAGGCAAGCACGTCAAAGTCTCCAATTCGGGCCGTTTCAAGGAGAAGAAGAAAGTCCGGGCCACATTGGCAGAGAACCCCAACCTCTTTGACGACAGGGAGGGCAACGGACAGTGAGGGGGGCCAAGAAGGACGCGGACACCTCCCTACTCCTGCCGTCAGCCGGATCTGAGACAGGAGCTTGCCACGCCGGGCTCCTTGGCCACAGCTGACGCCCTGGGGGCAGTTGATGCCTGCTGGCAGGAAATGGCTGGTTTTAGGTTTGTATTTATGTGCCTCAGCTTTCTGGAAGGTCTGGGTTCTCCCAGGGTCCCCCCACGTCCCCCAGCACGTACAAAGGCACTCCAGTCCAAGGATGAAAAGTCCCACCCAGGAAGGACAGCCCTCCTCAAAGTCGTGGCGCCGGCAGGGAGGTGGGCATGGTGAGGGACGGAGGGAGGGGGCGGACAGATTTCGCCTCCTCCGGGGGGCACAGGGTCAAGGGTGAGTTTCGATTTCTGCTCCCACAACTGTTCCCTGGACCAATTCTGAGCGTGACTTTTCCTAAAGCCACATGATGGAGTGGTTTCCTGGAGCTGGAGGAGGCCGAGACCCTGAACTTGAGCTCACCTCCTACCACAAGAGGGAAATTTCCTGGAACTTGCTCCCAGGTGTGCAGGGAGAGGAGGTCACTGGCACTCTGGCGGGGAGGGGTGCTGCTGCAGAAATCCAGGTGACGGACCCCAAGGGTTCCTGCACACCTCCTCAAAGGGATGATGCACTGGCTCATGGGTCCAAATTTGGGGAGCAGGTAGGGAAGCTGTGGTAGGACCTAAAAGCAGTCAGCTCTCTTCTCCCCTCCTACTGGTATTTAAGAAGGACAAGCCCCAGAGATGAGTCCTGGAGCTTTGAATTTTGTTTAAAAAAATAGTAATTGTAGGTTTCTCTCTTTGTAATAAACAATGCTGCAAAAGCAGAGAACCTATTTATGCTTTTGTCTTACATTTCCTGAGGACTGTTTCTCATGCCTTTATTCCCTGCCTGTAAGTGAAGTGCTCAGGGTTCCTGTCAAGCATCAGGAAGGGTCCCCAGGGGGTGCCTGGCTGGCTCAGTCGGTAGAGCACGTGACTCTTGATCCGAGGGTTGTAAGTTCAAGCCCCACATTGGGTCTATAGATTATTAAAAATAAGATCTTTTTTATTAAAAAAGAAAGGGGGCTGTCAGTATAAAAATACAGCAAAGGAAGAGGCAGTTTCAGCTCAGTGGTCAACAGAGAGACCATCAGGGGCTCTAGAGAGTGGAGGAGACCTTTGGTGACTGACCCCACAGTTGCAGGTGTTTGGTTTAGGATCAGGACTCAAATTCTCGTTCCACCGCTTAGTAGCTGGGTGATTTGGGGAATACTTTTTTTTTTTTTTAAAGATTTTTATTTATTTATTTGACAGAGAGAGAGACAGCGAGAGAGGGAACACAAGCAGGGGGAGTGGGAGAGGGAGGAGCAGGCTTCCCGCTGAGCAGGGAGCCTGATGCGGGGCTCAATCCCAGGACCCTGGCATCACGACCTGAGCCGAACGACTTAACGACTTAACGCTTAACGACTGAGCCACCCAGGTGCCCAATACCTTTTTTTTTTTTTAAAGATTTTATTTGAGAGAGAGAGAGAGACAGAGCATGAGAGGGAAGGGGTCAGAGGGAGAAGCATGCTCCCTGCTGAGCAGGGAATCCTGATGCGGGACTCGATCCCAAACTCTGGGATCATGACCTGAGCCGAAGGCAGTCGCCTAACCAATTGAGCCACCCAGGCGCCCTGGGGAATACTTTTTTATTTTTATTTATTTTTTTAAAGATTTTATTTATTCATTTGAGACACAGAGATTGAGAGAGAGAGAGAGAGACAGAGACAGAGAAAGCATGAGCAGGGAGAGAGGCAGAGGGAGAGGGAGAAGCAGGCTTCTCGCTGAGCCAGGAGCCCGATGTGGGGCTTGATCCCAGGACCCTGGGATCATGACCTGAGCCGAAGGCAGATGCTTAACCATCGGAGGCACCCAGACGCCCCGGGAATACTTTTTTAAAAACGTCCTCTGAACCTCGGGTTCCTCTTCTGTAATATGTATTTCGTGGGAATGGTATTAAGTGCCCCATAAGCAGTCCTATAGTAGGTGCTCAGTTAATATTGGTTTCCTCCCCCTTCCTTTATTAAGGAACTCCACCATAGCCCACAGCTTCTGGTTAAGGAAGAGGAAAGAGTATGCTTCCTGTGCTGTTAGGTCCAGATCTTTCTCAAGCCCCAGCAGCTGGGAGCTAGAAAAAATTGGACACATATCTGGAGCTCTTGGAGGAACAGGGAGAAACCAAGGTGGCCACTAAGCAATGTGGTCCTGCAGCTTCCAGGTCAGTTTCTTGCAGGCTGTCGGGCCACCCCACCCCAGGGAGTGTTGCTCAGGAAATTTATTACCGCAACAAACAGACCCGTACAAGGGGACCTTTGTTGGGTGGCCTCACCCAGGCCAGGGGGAACTCTGAGGATGAGTGAGGGCCACCAGGAGCTGGAGGGAGGGAAGGCAGGCTGGTTCAAGCGTGCCCAAGGCCTCTTCCCCTATCCCTCCCACCACATAGAACTTTTTAGGGTCCTTCTGATTACCCAATCCATAAAATGTCCCATGGAGGAGCTGCCTTCCCCCCTACTCTAGCCCTGTCCACTGTGAATAGCCAGGGTTTGCCGAGAGCTTACAATGGACCAGGCCCTGTGGCAAGTACTCCATGAGGTTTCTTGGTGAGTCCCCTCATCACCTGAGACAGGTGCTGTCATTATCCCCATCTTCAAGCTGAGTTGAGGCTGAGAAGTGAAGCCACCTGCTTGCCACAGCGGAGCTGGGACTGAAGCCAGAGCTGGCCTGTGCAACGACTGCTGCCCACAGCCCCCTCCATGCTTGATTCGCTTCTGCTCAGGGGATGGGAAACTGAGGCTCAGAGCAAAGAAAGCAGTCCAGTCACCTTCTGCAGAAGGGGAGGTAGGGTGGCAGAGGGTAATGCCCGGGGCTGGGAATCCTGATTCTGGCACCAATGGGGGAAAGCTAACCAGCTCGGAGGCTGAGTGTCCTCTGAGACACCAGACCAGAGGGGCCTGCCACTTTAGCCCATCCTGAGGTTCCTTGACAGAGGTGGGGGCTGGGAATGAGGCTGGGCCCTGGGCCACCAAGCCCCGCTTCTACCAATACTGGCACCACACGGCTACCATTACCCCTCTTAGGTGAGAGGGTCTACGGCCCCTCTGCCTGGTGCGTGAGATCCTGCTCCAGCCTTTAAGTGGTGTCCGCAGGAATCTTCCAGGGAAACCCCCACATATATCCCTAAGCTGGGGGGCAGGGGGTGGGTGTGTGCTAAAAGCCAAAGGGCAAACTGGCTGGCCAGGGAGTTGGAGGGAGGCAGCTGCAAGCTTTCATGAGGCCAGAGGAGGAGGTACCGAGAGTGCAAATACAGGCAGGAGCTGTGAGAGGCTACGGGTTATCGGCCACAGTTTCACTGGGACACGACCCAACAGGGGTAAGGGGGAGGCAGGAGGGGCCGGCTCCAACTGCCCAGGAGAGGCCAACCCTGGGCGGCAGGCTCCCCCTGCTGGCCGCCCTACCTCTAGGGAGAGGAGGAGTAAGGTGGGAGGGGTCCCCTAACCCCCCCCAACTTCCCTCCTTCCTGGACTGGTGGGGGATGGGAGGATGTGACCAGGCCAGGTTGAACATTAATGTCACACACGGCTGACGAAGTTTTATTACAGACTTGGCACAGTGATTGTCAAAGAACAGGAAAGGGACAGCTGAAAGCAGGCTCAGAGCTAGGGGGTGGAGGATACAGAGCTCCCAGTAACGGGACAAAGTACAGAAGGGCACCCCAGCACCCTCTCCTTCAGTGGCCACAGGGTTAGCATTGTGCCTTCCTGCACTTGGGCTTATGAGGGGGATCAACACCAAGAGGGCCTCCCTTGGAGGAACCACTTAATGGCAGACGCTGAAGCAGAGTACACACCCACACAGTGGAATGAAACCGTGTACAAACTTGGCAAGTTCCATGCCAACACGTACAAATAATAGTTCTCAGATTCTGGCTTAGTCACAGCAAACATTTACCCAGCCTGGCCTGTAGGCCATTCATTCAAGTTGTCCTTGTCACCAGACTTGTGCTCAAGGAGTGTGCAAATACGGTTCAGCCCAGGCTTGATGAAGAATCCAGTGGTGAGGGTGGGAGGTCGTTTGTTTGTGGAAGTTGGGGACAATGCATTCGGTCACTGGGGGGGGGGGGCACTTATTAAATGCAGAATGGGATTCATGGGTCTGAGGTGGGCTCCCAAGCGGTGTTGCTGCTGGTCTGTGGACCACACCGAGTAGATCTAAACCCGGGGTCTCAACTTTTGGCTGCACACAATTCCCTGGGGAGCTTTTAAGTTACCCGAAGTTCAGATCTCACTCAGACCAGTGAAATCACGTGTGACTAAAGCTCCCTGGGTAATTCCAGGATGGATGAAAACCTGTGTCTAGGAGTCATCATCCACAGAGGTGGGGAGTAGGTGAAGGGGATGCCTGAGTAGTCAGAAAGGTATCATCTCTATAACAATTTTATACCTGGAAAATGAAATATACATATGTATGTGTATGTACGCACATCTGTAGCTCTCAGAAACAAATATGTTAAGTAAAGCTTGATTGAAATCTGCCTGGCTCATAGGTACCAGCACATGAGTCCCTTCTATAAAACTCCTGACTACCAGGGATCGAAAACTTCTGGAGACACTTGCTACCTAACAGTCCACTCCCTCTTAGGCAGCCCTGGTTGTCTGAAGTCTCTCCCCGAATTGAGAGAGGAAAATCTATGTTCATGCAACTCCCACCTCTGGGTTCCTTGGAGCTCCAGAGAATACATTTCATCTCTTTTCCACGTTGTTGTGCTTCAGATAACGGGAGGCAGTTATCAGTGGGGTACAGGGCTATAAAAATACCCTAGTAGTAAGTAAGTTAATGAAGCTTCCTTTAGTTGCAAGCAACAAAAAGTGATTCTGGCTAGTTCAAGCCAAAAACTTCCTTTAAAAAACAAAAACCAAAACAAAACCAGGGATGATGGGTGTTTTGAGGCAGGAGGAGGAGTTACACAGCCCAGACGTGGGAAGGAGGGATCCAAGGTCACTCAGGGAGTTACAGGAACAGCACCTGGAGGCTTGCTTCTTGGCTGCCATTGCCACCGTAGGACTTGGCTACAATGCCTCTCATGCTCTGGGTCTCTCCATTTCAAATTTCCAATTGTTGACAAGAAAAAAACGGATCGGCCAGATTGGCTCAGGTGCTTATGCTGGAACCAGTAAGCTTCGGGCAGTATGACTCAGTCATACCCTAGTGGACAGGGCCACGGGGGCCCACCCAGGGTCACTAGAAAAGGGAATCACACCAGCTACTACCTCTAGAGGGAGCTATTCCAATAAATCATACTCAAGGTCAAGAAAATAATTATGGGATTTTTTTTTTTCCCATTTGTGATTCTCTACGCCACTGTTTATGCTCCACTAGACTACCTACTTGAGAGCCAACTGAAAGTACAGAATTCGGAGCTTGAACTCTGAAGAGCCTTAAATATAAGGGGTGGGGAGGGAAATAGGCTGAGTTCAGAAGGGTCCCATTCACCATCCCACACCCTCTCTTAGCACCCGGCCCCAGCTCCAGTTGGTGCCAGCAGATTGGGAGTCAGGGTGCAAGTCTCTCATAGAGCCAGTCTTCCTCCCCACGGTGGGTCATGGACCCCAAAGGGGAGTCTTCTGTTGGTAGGCCCCGCCGAAAGATGATCCGGTCATGCAGACGGTTGGTTTGGCCTTGCCAGAACTCCACCACTTGTGGGTACAAGATGTAGCCACCCCTTCAAGGAGAAGCAGTGGGTTTGGTGCTCTGTGCATTCTTCCAACAGGTCACCCCCCGGTCC